GGGTCCATCTACTGAATCAGAATTTTAATCATGTGTATTTTCAAAGGCAAACCCTTAGTTAAGAACAATTGAGTTCAACTCTTTCATTTTATTGAAAAAACTGATAACCCAACTAAAAGGGAAAAAAAAATACTTGCTTATATATATTTTGGTACTTAAATAAAAAATTGTCCTTAGATTAATAAAATAGTGCCACATATAATTAATTTGAATGAATATTCTAACAGTTCTTCATTTTATGTTTCCAATAAGTTTAGTGACTTGTAATAAGTCATAGAACAAGTCCACATCAAAGCTAGACAATCTCCAATACTCTTAGTGTTTTAAGCTACCAAAACTTACAACATGTTTAACCTAACCAAGTTAAAAAACAAACAATAAGAATTTCATTTCTTGAGGTTCACTGTTTCAGATGACATTCCATAGGACCTATGACTTGAAAGCAATGTTAGAATACAACACAGTCATAGCAAAGATTATATATAAGAACCAAGACATTTGAGGCTTGACAAATTTTGTCATGTTCCTATGTAACAGAAAAATTATTGAGAATAAATTTGTTACCATCTTCTTTTGCTACTAAAATGAAATTTTTATTTGTTCATCAAGGAGTGTGTAGACAATTCTGTGTTTTGAGAATTCTCACACTCCCAAATTCTGACACTGAGTCAGAATCTCTGTGTTATTCTCCATCAAATGAGATTAAGGAAATCTTTAAGAAGAGGGAGAGCATCAAAGAAATAAAGGCTTTTGTATTTGGACAAGAGCAGTTGGACTGAACCCACAATCATGACGGGTTTATAATCCTACAGAGAGCAGAAACTGAGGTTTTAGTGGTTCTCATTGGATGTGCAGAAGGGACAATTGGGACCGGACCACTAATTAGCTAAGCACCATGAACTTGAGGGGTGTGGAGAAGATCCTGGGGGCCAGATTTGGTATGAAAAGGATCAGAGTCATGTGGCAGATTATCTGTCCTCTGAAAGGGACCCCAGAACAGCCTGTCAGCAGCAGCCAAGACACACTAAAGAGCAAGGGTTATCCCTTCATAACCCTGGCTCCAGCTTCCTCTAGCTTTACTTTACAATCCAAAGGGAGGGACTGGGCTATTCTCAAATGACTGACAGGAAATTTTCACCCACATGTTGGTCAAAAGTAAAGGCAGTTTTATTTTTTACCATAAAGCATATTAATTCAGTTCAGTTATTGCTCCTGTTAGGAAGAACATTTTTAGCTCTAGTATACCAGTACATATAATATGTATAAATTTTAGCATACTTTGTGTATGAATAAAAACTTTGTTCTTTCCACATGTTAGTTCTATGGCACTATTTTAGTTTCTCCTGCTGTTATCAAAATTAAGCATTCATTATTCATGTAAGATACAGGGGAAAATGAAAGTAAAATGAGAGGGAAAATGCTAGAATAATTTGATCATACATATTTAAATGACTACAAAGAAACAGTTATTCTCAAACATGCCTAAGAAGTCACATGAGGGAATAAATCTCATTCTACCCATTCTTAACATTTGTATCTCATTCCATGCTAAGCATGAACATTTCTGTTTTTCTCCCATCATTTCATTGGGTTTATCGAACCACAAAGAAAGGGAAAGAAGAAATCTGGCTCATTGTTCCAAAATACTTCTCATCCTGGTTTCAAAGTCTTCTGACTTTTTTATTTTTTATGTAAACTCATGTTCATGATACCACATAGCCTCATAAGGAAATGCTGCAAAAGTAAAAATGTTCATTTGAAGTTACATTGTACTAAGTTCAAAGAAGCCAGCTCACCTCTGCTACATTACCTGGATTGGTCCCAGAGTACGACCCATATAAAAATGCTGCTGACTCTGTAGCCAAATGCGAGTGTCTTATAGATTGAGCAACATCACATTTCTGTTTATCACAATTACTAAATGTTTTTTCAGAAACATCACTGTCCATGTCTTTCTTTTCTCTTGCACTTCAAAGCCCTCAGCATTTCATGGTTAGTGTTCTACTAGTGAATTGATGACAGAAAGCAAATATAAAACTGAAATTGGGCTTTGCTTTATATCGAAATGATCAGCTTTTAGTTCTTCCTGCCGGACTTTGTTTCTTTGCAATTATTTTTTATTTGTTTCAATTCACTATTATAGAGTGTATTATTTGTCCAATTATGTACCATTATTCCTAAACAAAAATGCAATATTTATCATGATAGTGGTGCAATAGTTAATTTAGCTATTAACTATTAACTATAGTTAATCAAACCTACATATTCCAGAGGAAGGACTGGCCCTTTACTGGGTTCGGGAAATCATCCCTGAGCCTTGGAATGTCTTGCCTGATAACGGTGTGCTTGATCCCTCACACTAGGGCTGTGCCAAATAGTTTATGTTAATGATGTGATTTACAAAGGAAGCCTGTTTTTTAACCTGAGGCTTTGGACCATGCTGAAGTAGTTTGAACGCTGTCGCAGTTGAAGCTGGTTTAGCTAAAGTCTGTGCCTTGTGAGTGACACGAATAAAAGCCCTGGACACCAAGGCTTAAGTGAGCTTCTTGATTGGCAACACTTCAGTCAAGTTGTCACACATGATTTCTGAGAGAATTAAGTGCTATACACACGTCTCCTTTTGCTACTTTTAATCTGTAATAAACCCTAACCATAAAGGTACTGACTCTTTCTAGTCAATCATCAAATTTGAAGGTAATGTTGGAGCCTCAGATACAACATCTAAAAGCTATCGAATGCTTTGAGCACTTAAAAATTTTTAAACAATTTGTTGCTTCCATAACATTTTCTCTTGGGAGAATATCACCACATCAATGATATTTCATGTTGTAATTGATATATGAATTATAGTTAGAGTTAGGTAATATCAATAATCTCCTTGTATATTATATTTAAATCAACTAATAAAATATGATAATCTAGCTGTAAACCTTTTAGAGAATTTTATTTCCTTTCCAATCCCGCTGCTTTTTGCTGTGTTTCATTATTCTTTCTCCCCTCAGCTTTATGGGGGTACAATTGATAAATTGTATAGACTGCTATTAAGTATAGTTACTATACTATACATTAGACCCACAGAACGTATAACTGAAGAGTTGTACCTTTTGATTAGCATCTGCCTATTTCCCCCAAAACCCAGCTGCTGACAAACTAGTGTTCTACATTCTGTTTCTATGAATTCTGCCTTTCTTTAATTCTTATTTTTTATTCTTATTATACAATTTCTGAAAGTATGAAGCAAGGTTTTAAACATCCTAGTCTAAAGTTAGTCTGAATAACTTCTTACTGGCAATTTATAAAATGGACAAATGAGAGAATACTATACTTGGAAGCTTTATTATCTGATAGAACACAGCATCTAAAGTTGCAGTCCTTGACTTTCCAAATGATTGGCATAGTGTCACACAGAGAAGCTGTGGCAAGGTCAGGGCTAGACGTTGAATATTATGATTATGGTTAGAAAGCTTTTTCTGCTATAATAAACTCCTATTATTGCTGAATTTATAGCTGAAATCATAGACTAAAATAAAGTTTAATCACATTATGGAAATTAGATGATTTACCTGCAAGTAAAAGGGACTCTAATTTAAGCCACATTTAAAAATAGGCCATAAGTGATCTCACATAATTAGATCTAGAGGTTGGGCAGGCACCTGGGTGGGGTGGGGGTGGGGCCTCAGTCAGCTCAACAATTGATCAGGAGCCAGGTTTCTTCTGTCTCTTGGTTTTGCATCCTTCATAGTCATACATTCTTAAGCAGCATCTTACCTCCATCCCTGAGGTCTGTAAATAGCAACAGTAATTATATGTATAATTCCAGAAGTTTGAAGGTCTAGGACAGGTCACTACCTTTTACTTACATCTTATTTACTTTCCCCAGAAAGAACTTCACTCATTGCAGAAACCAGTTAGGGTTCCATATCCATTCCATCCATTCCTATAGGGATCCCCGAAAGTGGATGGGATTAGCATGACTGATTTACACAAATTATCTGGTGTGAATTAAGAGGAAGCATTAGGCCACTACACCTATGTAAATGGTGGTTGGATAGCTGATGGACCATCTCTGTTTCTGGACACAGCTGTCCAAACATTAGTTATAATTCTTCATTTAGGTGTCTGCCTTCCTTGTGGGAAAGACATGCTTTGCCACAGGCGATCCTTTCATTGTAAAAACAAACAATATTGGTACACAGATGGTCAAAATATGTGCATGAAAGCAAGTCTGTTTTTCAAAGTGTTTTTTCCTACCCCAGCTAGTGCAGTCCTTTGGTGAAAATTAGCTCTGTTGCTAAAGAATACACTGTAGGCCTATACTAGTATTACAGCATTAACCCATATTGTCTGTCATTTATTTTCTGAAGTCAGTCAGTGAATACAACTTGAGTAGGGTTTTGTTTTTTTTTTAATGTCAGGCTTTTTGAAAAATGGAGAGTCTGAGGGGATCCCATTGATTTGCCAACTGTGTCACTCCATTTAAGGTAGAATAGCACATGCTTGTGACAAAGGCAGTGACAAATGGATATACACTAAGGGACGTACCAGCACAGAAAAATGAAGAAAATGATGGAAGTATACAGCATGAGATAGAAATCAAAATAAAATTCAAGATGATATATATATATATATATATATATATATATATATATATATAAAATACCTTGAACTAGGTAAAAGTACATACATGTAAGATTAACAGCACTTTTCAAAATAATTTCTGAAATTTCACACAAATTCAATATCACTAAGAGTTGTGAAATAGGAGTGAGCAATTTGTTCTATAGTATTTACAACAGTCTATATATAGTGGTTAATAGAACAGTTTTTACTATTATTAAGTGAAAAAAATATTGCTTGAGTTTCTGTTTTCTAATCTTAGTAACAACTCACATGTATGTATATGCACCAACATACCACAGAGGCTAACGTTAACAATTTACGTGGGGTGAATTTATGCTAGCACACATGAAGACACACGAATAACAGTCATGGGCACTCACGAGATGCAGATCTTTGCAGGTAGAATTGTGCTCACAGGCATTCAGGACGCAGCCATTCATGGCCTGGTCACATCTCGGGCCCATGCAGCCAGGACTGCATAGGCAAGGGAAGCCACCAACCACTGCAAACCACAGAAGAGAGAAAACTATGAACATCCCTTTATCATGGAATAGGTAATACTAGTTACTGTAAGGAAGGTTGTGCTCATCTAAATGCATTTTACTTTCAACCAACAATTGTGAATTGTTATATTGAATACTCCAGTACACAATTTTCTACAATGTTCCCTAAAATACAGTACTGCTCAGTTCTACTTAAACCCCTCAATTATTTAAAATAAGAATCTTCACAAATGAGAATAGTAATAAACATGCCGTAATAACTTGCAAAGTAACAATGAAAACATCCAGTTTTCTTTCTCTGTTTCTTTCTGTCGGTAAACAATACTTATGATCAATCGGTGACTTTTGTATCAGTTGACTTTTCCCAGATTGTTTTAGGTTTAATAAACCAGACGTTAACTGGTTGTTAAAGCTCTCGGTGCGGCAAGGTACACTAAAGTGCACAGAGATCTGAAAGTTGATTTTGAACTACTTAAGCCTTTGTTCAAAAGAGCTTCTGCCTTTCATCATAATCTTTTAAAAGTCATGATCAGAACATGTCCTCTATTTTATCTCTAATGATGGAAAAAGAACAGTCTCTGAAGCATCTCAAGGAAATGGAGACATGAATTACAGTTGGAGCAAGCACGGATTTATAGCTGTTTCTATAAATTCCTGGGTTCCTCATTATCCCCGAGACTTACCAGGTAATCTGCACTGCCACTCTGGCTCTGTGGAAGTACCTGCTATTACTCTCATTAAATGCTTAGAACCTGGGTGACAAAAGCATTTTTAATGTAATGTGAGGTACTTAGCTAGCTTCTAGACTTCTACAGCCATGCTCTCTGCAGCTCATGTAACGGGGCCCCTACGGAGTACAAGCCAGCACACAGCCCTCAAAGGGAAACAAGGGAGACCCAAAATATAGCCGCTCTTCAGGCAGAAGTGTGCTTCTGTTTCACTTTATTATTTTCATCTGCACCTTAGTTTTCAATGTCTCATTCAATATAGGTGATTAATTAATATGTAGGTATAGTTATAAATACATTAACGAGATAGAATTTTATCAGTTGGTGCATCATTATGTGTTAAAAATGGCATTCTGCATGTCAACAAATGAAAACCAAATGTTGCCTGGCTGGTGTGGCTCAGTGATTGAGCGTGGACCCATGCACCAAGAGGTGGCCAGTTCGATTCCTGGTCAGGGCACATGCCCAAGTTGTGGGTCAAATCCCCAGTGGGGGTGATGCAGTAGGTCAATCAATGTTCTTTCTCATCGATGTTTCTCTCTCTCTCTGCCCCTCCCTTCCTCTCTCTCTAAAAATCAATAAAGAAAAAAATAGAAGTAAAATAAATAAAACAAATAAAATGAAATATTATACAATATGTAATGGGTGGAATCATGTCACTCATAATATATTTTAAAGGCTTATGACTACAATTCAAGTTTGGATATAGATGCAAATTGGCAGGTAACTAGAATCAAATGAATCTTTAGTATTGATATAGACATTCTTTATGAAGATAAATGATAAATTAATCTAAAAATAAATATGACAATAAAAGATAACTATGAATTAAAAAAGGGTCTGAAAGACAGAGATTGGTGCTAAAAAAATAAAAGCTGCTTTTATTATCAATAAATATGCTTTCAAAATGTTCACTCTTTTGGGTTAAGAAGCTAAAAAATAAACTATGTCCAAATAAGTCCTTGGGGACTGAATCTGAATACCACAAAGAAAATAAGCAAGCAACCATACTACTTAAAAAATTTTAAAACAAAAGAGCTGGGTTTTTCTCACATATAATTTGTGAATTATGAGCTATATGATAACTACTCACCATTTGATCAGAACATATTTTTAAAGCATATTGTCTAATCTTGTTACTGTTTTTACCAGAAAATAAATTGTATTAATATGAGACTGAGTTGAATGCCTCATACTACTGTTTAGAATTAAAATTTACATCAGATAAGCTGCCCATAAATCATTATTATTATATTATTAATTTTATATTTAATTATACACCAAACATCATACATTAATTGCACTGAATCAAAGTTCCTGACACGATAAAGCTTTGTGTTGAAAATACAGAGGTATTTTATTTATATATTTTTTGAGATACCAGCTTTTATTTTCCACCTTTTCACAAAACATAATAGAAGAAATAATACAGGATTAAAACCACAAAAGTAGTTTAATTGGTAGAACATGTATAAAACAACACAAAACAAAACAAAAAAACCCAAATAAGAAGACAGGTTTATTTACAATGAAAAAACACACGTAAATTAAGGTAGCTTGAAGATTTCATATGAAACATTAAAAAACTCACACATATGCTACACGGGTGCCACTGTTCACAGCAATATTGAAAGGGAGAAAACACTTACTTAGGGACAGATATACCACAAGGTCCAGGTTTTACAGCATCAGTGCAATAAATTCACAGAACTATATTACAGCTAGTTAATCAGAGTTTAAGAATTGTTCCCAAATATGTCACATTTTCAGCCCTTAAAAGTTCATTCCACAGATTTGAACTACTCTAAGTGTCTAGCTACTGAGAGGGAGAAAGGCTCTAAGATGCTTTCCAAGAGTTGCAACATCTCTACAGGCCTAAGGCCATCTATCATCTACAAGTTAGCTCTCACTAACAGCCCTTGTATTTTTTAGAGAAATATCTAGGAAAAAAGTCAGATGCTAGTGTAGTCTTCACCTCCTAGACCAAATCTATGGGGACCAAAGAAGCCAACATTGCCACAAGTTGAGAAATGAAAAATGAATAGGTAAGATTATTTTCTACTGAATCTTGACGAAACACGGAAAGACTTTTGTCCTTTATTAGCTGGTTTTGGAATACAAGTCATAGGCATGAGTCTTCATCTCTTATGTACTTTCGTTTTAGACAGCTGAAAATCTGAAATTAAAAGTATGCTAAAAATCCTAAATCCAAGCTTTTGGAAGCCTGCTAGTAAAAAGCCTTTAGGACCTACTCACTTGAAGGCTAAGTGCAAGGGGACAAGAGCTCTAAGACTGTTAGGTTCCCCATTTCAGAGGATCAATGTTTTCTACAAATTGCCAAGTTTTGCACAAGGGAGAAACCCACACATACTAGGGCATGTAATTAGTTTCATTTTCTTCCATGAGGATGCTTCTCCACGGTATGGAAACAGAACAAAGAATGAATCTGAACTGGTCTCTTCATCGGAAGTGGTATATTTGGTCTCTATATTCTTGAAGCCAGTTTTTTAGGCAGCCTGTGGAAGTAGATGGGAGACCACTACACCTTATATCTAGCTAAAGAAAAGATCAACTTGAACAATTATCCAAAGTCACTGTTTACTAAAGGGTGAAGTTCAGCACTATATTACTTAAAAGGAAGTTGCCTACAAATAAGAATTCAATTAACCCTGGGTGAGAAAAATCCAGACAAATTATATTAATGAATGAGCTGCCCATATAAGGCCAACTGATGAGAAAGACACACTATGTATAAAGCCTTATGTGGCAAGTCTGAATTTCTAGTAACTAAGGGCAGAAGGAGTAAGAGCAAAGAGCTACTTCTGTAACACTTTAGCATCTAGACAATATAATAGAAACTGTTCCCAAGGACAACGTATACTCCATTAATCACACTGAATAAAGAAGATGCATTATTCATTTTTCTTTTCTTTGTGCTTAGAAAGCTTGTTCATCTCCCTTTTGGCCATTCCAATGCACTTCGGAATGATTCCATGTTGGTTAAATCCAAGAAGCAACAGTAAGAAAGTCACTATCAGGTAGGTGAGAAGAAGGTGGGACCTGCTATCCCACCCAGGCAACCGCACCAAGAGAAATGATCATCGTCATGAAGTACATTTTTGGTTTTTCTTCCTTTAGTGTGAAGAGGCGTTTCCACCAGCCCATAGCTCTGCGTCGAGTTTTTACTAGATTGCTGCAAATTTCATGGAATCTTTGCTGCTGCTCAGTGGGCTAGCAAGTTGGTGCTGCGATTATCTCCCTCTGCCATCGTCCCCAATGTGCCGCCTCAGTGCACACAAGCCAGCCTCCCCAGCAGACTCGCTCTGAGATCCACACAGCGACCCCAGCCCAGAGCTGAGTATTTTAACAATGTGCTGAATCACCACACATGTCTGAGATGTGCCAAGTCACATACACATATTAATAGTTGTTTCCTGTATATAGTCACGTAATAAATACTATTTTTTCAGAAAGTTTGGCTCCCAAACTATTTTATTTTTGAGGAATTATACAGTGCCTCAGATTTATGCTGATATCAGTTTACATGTACAATCTAATTTTTAATAAATGTTTCAGTTCTCTGGTAGGTAATTTTCTTCGATGAGGTCCACAATATATCATGAACAATCATATTATGAAACCCAGCAATATATCATGTACCCCAAATTTATGGTTTCCATGATATATTATGTATGACCTTCAAAAATTTAAAAGAGATCATTGCACTGTAAATAGCATATTTGGAAATTGTATTTTCTTATCATAAAAAGAATTATGAATTATAATATGTATGGAGACCTAATAAAAGTAGGGTTTACAGTTGTATGTGAATCAGTTTATTCTTGTATTATTAGTTATCAACTATTATAGTATTTATTATTGTACTATTATCCATGTGAAAAAATGTAAACCTACTTTTACCCACCCTTGTGCATGTATATGTGTGTGTGTGTGTGTGTACCTCCTTCACTCAGAATACTTCAGAAGTGTTAACATATAACCATTATACGAGGGCTGCCTGGACCTAAAATAGTTGCTAACCTCTCTCTCAGGCATACTTTCTGCCTTCCTTATTTTACAGTGAGCACCAGAAATCTGAAAGCCTTTCCCAGCATCACCAAACACCTATGGGTTTAAGCTCAGAAATAAGATTAACAGCAGTTTATTTCAAGGTAATTAGAGAATTTCACAAATAAAAAAACCCAATCTTTAAAGTGCTGAATTCTAAAACCAAAAAAAAAAAAAGTCGGTTTAAATTAGGAGTAACAGATAGATGGCCTACAGCCTGAAAATATATTTTGCTAGCAGAGTATTAGAAGAATATTCCATATTAATATTTATGTAGAGAGTCCAGTTTGCTAGGTCCCCACCATCACCTACTGTTTTATACCTGGGGTGCTTCATCCCAGCTAAAAAACAAGTATGCTCCTTAAGGACATGCACTGCAGAACACTGATTTAAAGGAAAGAATGCATACTTTCAGTAAAATGGTATCTTTTCCAAATAAAAGGACTTTCTATTACAATGTGTTTTTTCATACATTATTTTAACCATTTATCCATTTACTGAAGAATTGTGTAGAAATATATTTGAAAGGAGGTAAAATAATAGAATAACACGGGAGACCCTTCTTTCTTCCTTCCCTTTCTTCTATTTTTCCTTTATGTCCTGCCTTGTTCTTTTTTTCTCTATAAATTAATATTTTTCAGGAACATATTTCTCAGTAGGAAGAAGTGTGTGTGTGTGTGTGTATGCAATAGATAGGCTAAAATAATGAATTTCTTTAAATCATTATAAACATTTTTTTCCTATATCTACAAATAAACACTTTAAAAGAAATCTACCATTTCAAAAAAGATTAATTCTGACATGAGAACACAGAAGTCACATTTCATTAAAAATTTTCATGCTACTGTTGTGACTCACAAAATATTAATGAATTTGTCAGAAGTGGGGATGTTTTGTGAAAATAATTGGCATTGCCCTGGCCAGTTTTCTCAGTGGTTAGAGCATAAGCCCAAGGAACAAAAAGTCATGGGTTTGATTGCCGGTCAAGGGCACGTATCTGGGTTGCAGATTCAATCCCCAGTCCTGGTCGGGGTCTTACAGGAGGCAACCAATCTTTGTGTGTCTTACCTCTCTCTCTCTCTCTCTCTCCCTTCCTCCCTCCCACTCTATCTAAAAATCAATGGAAAATAATATCCTTTGGTGGAGATTGAAAAAAAGAAAACAGAAAATAATCAGCCTTGACTTTGATATTCAAGGCAGGGTAAAGTCAGCAACTAATCTTGGCTGCATCCTGAGCTATTCCATTACTGCATCAGATTCTAAGTCAGACTGTGCTCCAAGGGCTGCTGTGGCTGAGTGAACTTCCTGTCATAGCAATATCCGATCGGGCAAGGCCTGGAACTGCACTCGCTGACATTGATCTCACAGCATGGACCTGCACAGCCTTTCCCACACTGGCACCGGTACCCAAGGGGAAACATTTCCAGATCCATTTTCTCTCTGCACACGGCTCCATTCTCACAAGGATTACTAGCCTCACAAGGTCCACATTCACAGTAAGGACCTAAAAGGAAAGAATCAGACTTAGTGCTTGTATAATGAACAAATCCTTGTGTAATGAACAAACTGCTGTCAATGACCTGGCGTGTTTCTGCATAAATACATTCAATTCAGTCTATTGGCAAAGACATAATTCTCTTGCATATTATCGTTGTGATTCTCTCTCTCTTTCTATATATGATTTAAGAAAGAAATATTATTTATAATTTACATGCTTCATCGAAGAAAGAACTAGCAGGCGCAATATATATATTTTTAAATACCATTTTGTTTCTTCATACTTTCAATTCTTGTTCAACAATATTCTCTGAAGACATTGCAATTAAGAAAGTACATCATTAATGATTTGATGCTATCAGTGTTTACTTTTTACTTTCTAGTAAACACTGCTATCCTAAGTTGCTATCACTGTAAGCTTAGCTTGATGGATTTGTTGCTATTCTCAAAACAAGTAAACAATGAACAAAAAAATTTAATAGGCCTTTTATCTTAAGTGTAACACCTTAGATCTGAAATTAAGTTTTAATTTGTACTCATAAAATGTCATTAGATAAAGTGGTTGTCACTGGGTGAAATGTACACAGATATTTGGATATAAAAAAATAATAATAATAAGGCCTGAAATAAGGGAATCCATACCAAAAAAAGCGAAGGGTAAATAACATAAAATTGTCATCGAAACAAAATCATTGTTCAGATGTCAGTTTTCCAGGCATAGTAAAAATATGTGGATAGTAGTTATTTGGAAAGCATTTAATAATAGCTTTCATTCATCAAAATATACATAGCATATATGCATACACATAGGTTCCAAAAGTGCCTGGTTGAATACCTCAGAGAAGAATGTCCAGTAATCAAGTTCCTTAACTGCTCAGGTTTCCTCAGTAATAGTCGTAGGAAGGAGGGGATAATAAGAAGAATTGAGATATGGGTAAAGTTTTCAAAGTTTAAAAGTGCAGTGGGAGGTGGAGATATTCTAAAACCTCAGGATCCCTACGGTTCTCCCAACTTTAATCACAAGACAAAACAAAACACAAAATCTGTGAGAAGGCTAGAAACTTCTGAAGACATAACAATGTATACAGTGAAGGACCCAAAACGATACAGTTAATGTCCATAAAAGAAGAGCAATAGAAACTGTACCAAGTTGAACAGACATCTGAGAGTTTATGTTACTAAGAACAGTAAAAAGAAAAACATAAACAAAAGTACAAAACTACTTCCAAAGAGCAATAAATATTTTCTTCAATTAAAAAATCTATTAAGTGGCTATTTTTTTTTGCAAGAGCTATAGCAACTAATGTGGAGAATTTAAATACAAACAAGGTTGGTTCCTTATCCGTAAGCCATTATGAGATTGAAGTGTATTACAAATGGTATTTCTGGACAATATTTTAATTTAATGAAAGTATATTTCTTTATAAAATAGGAGAAGAAATTGCATTGAGCAAAAATCCACCACAAACATTAAAAAAAAGTCCTTAATAAAAGTCCTCATGCATACCCTTTCCTCTTAATGGACCAAATTCTAAATATTTAATTGTGAGAATAACTGTTTTGTTTTGCTAGTGGGAAGCTATTTTAGCTTGTCCCTTTATGTATAATCTCATGCATATGATCCATTAGGTTGCTGAACAATAATTCATACCCACATTTGAGAAAACACTTATGAATACTATTTTACACAATATCTATGAGTACACTGTACCCTCAATACCATTCTGATTTGTACATTAATCTATCATACAAATATTCAAAGAGCCTCTAGTCTGTGGCAATCACTGTGGCAGAAGCTGGGGTTGTAAGCAATGAGGGATTCATACAAGCATGTAAACAAGTGTAGTATAATAAGGAGAAAATGTGGCCAGTGTTTTATGCTGAGAGTCATTGATGTAGGCAGAATCCTAATACAGCCTCCATGCTCCCATCCCCCTGGCGCACATGGCCTGTAGAATCCTCTTTCAGTGTGGGTGAGACTTGTGAATATGATGTAGTGTTACTGCTGTGGTAGTTAACATTATACTGCAGAAGGGATTTGTGGATGTAATTAAAGTCGTCTGATCAGATGACTTTCAATCAATTAAAAGACATTGTCTTGGGTAGCTCTAACCAAACCAGAAGAGACTTTCAAAGAAGTCAAAGGCATTCTGTTTGCCTGGAAGGATCAAAATGAACACTGTGTTCTGGAACCTGCTACGTGGCAGGGATTGGCATTGCCCCTCAGGGCTGAGAGCATTTTCGGAACACAGCCAGTAAGGAAGCAAACCAAAGTGCTAAAGCTGCAAGGAATGAAGTTCTACTGACAACCAGAGAACTTGGAAGAGGAACCTGGGTCTCAGATTAGCTAAACCTTGTGGGACCACAGAGAATTCAACTAAGCCATTGCCAGACTTCTGACCTGCAGACATTTGAGATAATAAATAGGTGTTGTTTTGAGCTGCTAAATTTGTGATAACTTGCTATATAGAGGAATAGTACAGTCAAGTATAAGGATAACAAAGGCATCTTAAATTGGACAGCTCCCAAAGGAGATATGATTAAAATGAGTCCTAAAGAATTATTGGACAGCTCCCAAAGGAGATATGATTAAAATGAGTCCTAAAGAATTGCTGCACATTATCAAGGCAAGACATGTGGACCATGTGGCCGTAGAAGGGATGGGAGTGCTTTCTCCACGGAGATAAAGACCAGAGGTGAGGAAACCCAAGGAACTGAAAGTAAATCAGTATGAATGGATCATGATGCAGGAAGAAAGGAGATACATTTCCTCATTTCATTGTTTGTAACATGCCACTGACTTCAAGAGACCTTTTTCATGTACCATTCAGGATAGTGTGGTAGAATGAATAATGGCTCCCTGGAAAGAAATCCAGGCCTTAACTCCTGAGCCCTGTGAAAGCTGCTTTATATGGCAAACAGTAATGTGCACAAATGGTTAAGTCACAGATCTTGATTTGCAAGATTATCTTGGTTCATCAGGTGGGTCTTAGAAGTAACACTGAGACACACAAGGAAATGGAAGTCTTCCGAAGGAATGCAGTCCCGCCAACACCTTCATTTCAGATTTCTTGCTCCCCAGAACTATAAAATAATGAATGTGGGGTGTTCTAAGTTTGTGACTATTAGCAGTGGCCATCTCAGGGGACTAACAGATGGGGCAAGAGCTGGCACTTAAATTCTGAGAAAGTGATTAAAATATGAACATTGTAAAAATGAATCTCAATGTCAAAGATGTTAATGTTAATGTGATAGTGTTCGTTATCATGTTAACATGTGACTGAAAATAAGAAGGTGTTACATTCAATTCACCAATTGAAATAATATCTCTGAAGGTTGAGACAAGATTGTAAACTGCTTACTGATCCATACGACTTGGACTTGTGTATAGTGAGAAGCTTTTAAAACCTTTCCTTAAAAAGTGGTAGTGGAAAAAAAAAAATGCCCTGGCCGATTTGGCTCAGGGGTTGGAGTGTCGGCCTGCGGTACAGAGAGACCTGGGTTCAGTTCCCTCTAAGGGCATGTACCTCGGTTGCATATTATCCACGGCCCTGGTTGGTCATGCGAGTGGCAGCCACTCGATGTGTCCCTTTCACGTCGATGTTTCTGTCTCTCTCTCTCTTCCTCTCTCTCCCTCCCACTCTATCTGCACAACAACAACAACAAAAAAATGCAAAAAAAAAAAAAGTGGTAGTGGCCTCCTCACACTGAGAATCACATTTCATTTCCAAGTTGTATTCTGAAAACATCAAATGTTTATTTTTCCCTGAGGTTTAATTTTACTGAAAATCATATGCCGGTGATGCAATTTAAAACTGAGAAAAGAAAGTAATAATCATTTTACTTTTTACCCATAGTTAGAAAAAATTATAAACCTATTTTCATTACCTTCCTTTTACAACTATGTTATCAGTTCACAAATCACAAATGCTGAAATTCCCACGGAAAATGTATTGGTAGTAGAAATGTATATTTAACTGAACTATTTTTTCTGTAATTGAAATTTGCATCCATCAAAATAGTATGTTACTGTTGAGTGTATGAAACAATTTTAGTATCAAGTTTTTTTATGATAATACTAAATGTATTAAAATATATTATTTTAAAAGCTCTAAGCGTATGTAGATGTTTATAAAACTGAAAATTTAATTTTCCCATAACCCACATTTACTAGTGGTAAATAATATAAATATATTTTACAAATATTGGTCATATATTAGAATTTATAGTTTTTAAAATAAATTGAATATATTTAAGGTATAGAACATGATAATTTACATAGTCTAGGACAGTTATTTATCCTTTTTTGGTCTTTCTGGATCTTGACATTTTGCAGATTACAGGGCAGTGATTCTATAAAATGGCCATCAATCATGGCTTATCTACTGTCATTTATTTAAATTCAGGTTTTGTATGCCTTTGAAAGAAATATAACAGAGGTAAACCAGTATCCCCAGTACATCACTTCAGGGATGTTATGAGTTTCTTCCAACATAGGTAATGTTATTTCAATGAAAACATATAATTTGTCCTTTTAGACTTAAGTAATTTTTGGAGAGTTATTTTGAGACTATGGACATATCCTATCTCTTACAAATCATCACCAATTAGTTCTAGTAATCATGGATAATTTAATAACTCTGCCATTACTTTCATATATCTTAGCTGATATCCTGATATAATAAAAAGAGCATCCTCTTTATGTGTCCTCCAGCATTTACCTATTTCTCAGTCTATTATGTTAAATGGATTTAAATCAATTAACTATTATTTCTTTTAATACTCTTTTTGTTTTTATAATTTAGTCAAGTGGAAGCTCTTTTCAAACTGACCCTTTTATACTCATTTGATAAATTCTCCTTTTCTTTGAGTACTTTATTTTATTCAAATCTTTTATTTTTATTATTTTTTATTTGATTAATTAATTTATTTTTGTTAGAGATGTTTCTCCTCCCCCCCACCCACTGATTCTACCCACCCCTCCCTCCCCGCCCTGTCCTCAGCTTT